CTGTGGAGATTTTCATTATTCTTGCTAGCACAAGAAAAGTAAACCCTAGCCGTCATTCTTGTTCTCTGTGTGGATCACCATTGGAGGCTGGACAATTGGACAGTTTGGATTGCAGATCGTGATCATTGGAGTTCGAGAATCAGCGAAGGAGTTTGCAGAATTCATCAAAGGTATTATTCTCAACACAGTTTCTATCTAAATACAAAGCAGATCCGTGGTGGGAATTTAAAAATTATTAATTTTCCGCTGTGCATGTTAAGTAAATTCCAACAGGAACTCTAGTCTGAAATTCTTTCGAAATTAATTCTTAAAGTCTTGGAAAGGTCCACTGCTTTCTGAATAATAGTTCTTGATCCTTATTGCTCCTTGCACGGACAAGATGAAAGAGGAGTTAATAGAATCCAGAAGATCTGAAACAGTCTGTCAGAATTAATATTGAATCTCCACTCATTAATCATTTCTTCTTTACTTCTTTGAATAAATATGGAGTCAATGGTAATGATGATTGAAGAACGATAAAAACCCTCGACTGCTCACTTATTAACTTGTCTCCCTTTTATGGAACCTATTCTTTGGGATCGGATAGAGAAGTGAACGGTGGAAGGACCGTACCGTCCTCAATTTCAGATACAACGTTTCATAGAGCTTCAGATAACAGAGTAATAATCAAAGAACTAGCAATATTACTGTTTTCTTCATGAATTGCTATGATGTTTCGCTGGTGGTAGGATTTGACAATAGCTGCTATGCACTTAATGACACGACTGTCCTGATAGCCCAAAACGTAACGTGCGTCAATGGTAGATATCAGCTAAATGCTAGACCCACCACAAAGCAACTTTGACTATGATAATTTTTTTTAAAAAAATCTACATAGTTTCCTATGTAATATGGACTCAAACCAACTTAAAAGCAACAAATTTTCTCAAACATATACATATACATTAAAATAGGATACATCAACCTTTCTAAACACAAACTAGCCAAAATAAGGGACAAGGATATCAATACTTACTATTCTGTACAAGCCAAAACTCACAAATGCCCTAAATATACACAAGATGCAACAAGCCCATGATATTGATACATAAAATACAAAATGGCTTATCGAACATGATAAGCATGTACCCAAAAAGAACAATAAACTATATAAACTAAAAAAAGGAGTCATAAAATTAATGACGATGTGTGGCTCGACTCTTTGGATCAATAGACTTCAATGTTGCTCCATTCAGCTACTATCTGATAAGAAAAAGTGACAAAATATATGAACTTATAACTCAGTGAGTGGATTGTTCGCAAATAAGTATACACTTTTCCATCTATACATATTTACCAAAAACTCTTACTTATTCTATTATAATTTTAAGAAATTCAGACTAATAATTAATTTTAAAACTAAGGCATAATGGAATCATAAAATTCTTTATTCTGAACAAGAAACTATAAAGTATAATGGATATAAGAAATCTGATATTGATAAAAAAAAAAAAAAGAAAGAAAGAAAAAAGAGTAAAACTATTATCTTACAATACTATGAGCATGTTTGAGAGTGATTAAAATCCAATTAACAATGAAAATATAGCCGTTATTGGGTCCAACTTGTCTAATAAAAATCAACAATAACAGCTAATTTTTCAATTTTAATCCGATTTTAATCTCTACCGAACACGCCCATAAGATGAAATCTTTATTCATTGTTTAGGTTCATTTTAATGAGGTTCTATGAAAAAAATATATTTTGGAATAGTAATTTTTTAGAGCGTGTGTGATTAAAGAGTAAATAAAAGTTTGGGTTTACGTTTAATATTATTTTATTGAAAAATTTATGGTTGAAAATGAATTTTGAAAAAAAATATTATTGGTTTAATGGAGCCCAAAAAAGGGCTAAATTTTATAATCTGAAACTAATAAACTGTAATAATACTGAAAAGTCACACCAAAATGTACTCAAAATAACTATATTCATGTATCAATTAATATCGATGTACATGACAAAGCTATCCATATTAGATGATTCTAAAATTCACTAATTATGTAATTTTGGTCATACGCGCACAGAGCTGTTCATAGACAATAATCTGGTCATACACTAAGAAAACATATTCACAATAGAGCAGGTAAAATCACTAATATATAAATTAAATAAGTTCTTATTTTTGAAAAATAGTTTTCTCCACTCACTCAATACAAGCTACTGGCTATAATGGTCAATAATCTTTTCCAATATCTTCGTCACCTCCTAAAATACGATACAAAATAATCAATTTAACAACTAAATCAAGTAACCTTAATATTTAGTTATGGAATACTCAAGCTTGATTTCTCGATATTTCAACAAATTCCCCCAATTTATTTTAACATTTGGAGCTAATTTTACTTTTTAGTCCCTTCACTAATCTTTAATTTATCAAATTACCTACATCCTAGGAATAAAAGCAATTATTCCATCTTCCATTCCAGTGAAAACTTGAAATCACCCTTGTACCAATTTAATTTACATTTTGTTCCATAAATTCTTGCTTTCATGTGAGTAATTCATCAACACAATCGTTACCACTATCTCATTAACACAATCATTACCACTAACTATCCTTACTCAAGAATCCAATTATAAATTTTAGGGTTTACTAGATATAGTATTTCTTACCTTGATGTAAATAGCCTTCTGAAATAAAAAAAGATTGGCTTGAAATCGTACCCTCTTCCTTGAATCTAAAAAGTAAACCAACAAATTAAAACCCTATAAATTTAACATAATTATTCCTTTAAATCCTAAAAACAAGATAAAGTGAAGTATGAAATTCAAGGTTAAAGAGAATCATTGCCAAATTCTTCTTCCTTCTCCCCCCTTCCTTTCTTCCTTATCTCTTTTCTTTCCCTTTTCTTTTATTTTTTCTTCTTTCCCGTTTTCTGCTCTATCTATCCATTTCTCAGCTTTGTATTTTTTTGCTCAAAATGAGGAAATGAATTAAGTCCATGTTTTGCCACCATTAAAATTATAATTCGTTTTTCTCTCTTTTCTTATCAACCATACATTTTTCAATAAAATAATATTATATACAAACCCAAAAAAATTTCTTCTTTATTTATTACACATTCTTCAAAAAAACACTATTCCAAAAATTATAATATCAAATAATGGTGGTCAAACGAGAGCTAATTTATTAGACCACTAACCCTAAATTGCTAAGTAAATCCTCCAACGTTCATATAATACAACATTAAATCCTTAACTTCCACTAATAGAAAAGTAAATCCTCAAATTTCTATTTATTCTTCCTAAACCCTCAAATATTTTTAATTGTATAATACACCCCCGAGAAAAATAATTATTCAACTTAAGTCCATATTTGACTTTGACTTTGAATAAATAATCTTGAATTTGACTAGTATAAAATGAGTTGTAAGAATCTTACCACCCGTAAAGAATTTAGTTCTTGAATTTCAAGTAGCAACTCGCTAGGATATGAACAAATGAGGATATTGAACACGTATCTAACCCTCATTTTCACACGTAGCCTCTTATATTTCCTGATTTTTCCAAAGTATCTTTACAAGTGAAATTGTCTTGTTTCACTAAACTTACACTTTTCTGTCTAGGATTCTCACTGGCTCTTCTATATAAGTCAAATTCTCTTTCAATTGAATTGGCTAGGACTCTAGAACACGAGAAGGATTTACAATGTACTTGTGAAGCATAGAAACATGGAAAACATCACGTATCCTGGATAATTCAATTGGCAAAGCTAATTGATAATCAACGGACCAATCTGGTCAATAATCTCACAAGGCCAAATATATAGTCGACTCAACTTTCCCCGCTTGCCAAATCTCAAAGTGCCTTTCCAAGGCGATAATTTCAAAAAAAAAAAAATTATCTCCAAAAGTAAATTAAAGATCTTTATTGCGCCTATCTGCATAGGTTTTCTATCTATCTTGCATCTCTTTCAACTTTTCTCTGATCATTTTCACATTTTCTAAAGTAAATTGAACCAATCCAGGGCCTACTAAAATCCTCTTGCCAGCTTCATCCCAACATATTGGTATTCTACACTTTCTATCATAGAAAGCTTCAAAAGTAGCCATTTCAATATTAGAGTGGTAACTACTGTTGTAAGCAAACTCCATTAAGGGCAAATGAGTATTCTAACTCCCATTTAACCCTAAAACATAAGCTCTAAATATATCATCAAGAGTTAGTACAGCTCTCTCTAATTGGTCATCTGTCCGAGGATGAAAAGATGCACTGAAATGTACCTTAGTACCCATTGTTTCCTACAAATTATGCTAAAATTTAGATATGAAGTAAGGATCTCTATCTGGCATAATAGACAAAGGAATATCATATGAGTTGACTCTCTCGTCTACATACAACTTTGCCAACCTATTTAAAGAATAAGTGGCTTTCATCGACAAAAATCTAGTAGTTCTTAGTCTGTCGATCTATAATAACCCAAACATATCATGACCACTCTGAGTATGATGAGGACCAAATAAAAAGTCCATAGTAACGTGTTTCCATTTCCATTCTAGAATAGGTAATAACTTGGAAAGTTTTGCTATTTTCTAACGATTTGGCTTTACTTGTTGACGGGTGAGACAATTGGATACAAAATCAGCTATTTCTCTCTTTCTCTCTCTCTCTCTCTCTCTCTCTTTCACTCACCAGTAATGATCTTGCAAGTGTTACGCCCAGGTCCAATCAACTTTGGAAGCATCTCATTTATGGTAAATCTATTATTTAATTGAATTAATATTCCAATAAATTAAATAATAGAATTCGTATATTCAAGTCTAGATAATTTGTTAATCACAAGGAGTTATGATTGTGATATACAAATTACATATGATTGAATTTTAAATCATCCGTAAATATAAGTAAATAAGATATGGATATCCTTATTACAGATAGACAATCACGTGTAATATTTCTTCCTTGTGAAGTAACTAGCTGATCTCACAAGCTAAATATGGTGACACTTAAATGAACATGTTGATGTTTTGTTATAGAACAAAACATTGGAGACCCACTGCAGAGATTCCACATAAATGACTACTTGAGTGTTAGTAGTTAATCCTCTAACGATAGTGAAATTTGTCTTTGACTTGAGGTCATCATAGTGTTTTATATAAGGACGGTCATACTTTGGTAATATTGGATGTTGTTCTGTAAAGAATCTCTAATACGACATCGTTTGGGTACGTCAAGAATCATATAAAAGTTGTGAATGATCAATAGAGGATTCATCAATTTTAGATAGAAAGATATTGTGATCTAAATTTTCATCCAGTTAAGTCGACAATGAAATCATTGGTCAAGGTGTACTCATAAGTCGAAAAGAAACTTCGACGTACTTAATAATGGGATGAAAGATATGATTGATAATCGAGATTGACACACATTCATATCTCGTAATTGATCGGATCATGTTGACAAAGAGATTATAGTATCACGATAAATGAATAAGTTTGGTTTTGTCATTCCACTTGATATTTTCCATCACACATTGCTAGATGTCAATTTTGGATGACAAATGTGAATTGGTGAGGTATTTTAATTTATCGATTTTGATTAGATCAAAATAATAATTTCACGTCGTCAGACATAATGATCGGGAACGTAATGGGTCACACACAA